TCCTGATCCCAGGGGATGGAGGTGATCTCCTGATCCCAGGGGATGGAGGTGATCTCCTGATCCCAGGGAATGGAGGTGATCTCCTGATCCCAGGGAATGGAGGTGATCTCCCTGCCCCAGCCCCTCGGGATTCCCGGCTCCATCCCCGGCAGTCCCTGACACAGGGGACACGGAGGGGACACGGAGGGGACACGGAAGGGACACGGAAAGGACACGGAAGGGACACGGAAGGGACACGGAAGGGACACGGAGGGGACATGGAGGGGACAGTGGGAAGGACACGGAGGGAACACGGACGGGACACGGAGGGGACACGGAGGGGACACGGAGAGGACACGGAGGGGACACGGAAGGGACACGGAGAGGACACAGATGGGACACGGAGGGGACACGGAAGGGACACGGAGGGGACACGGAAGGGACATGGAAGGGACACGGAGGGGACAGCGGGAAGAACACGGAGAGGACACAGAGGGGACACAGAGGGGACACGGAATGGACACGGAATGGACACGGAGGGGACACAGAGGGGACATGGAGGGGACACAGAGGGGACATGGAGGGGACATGGAAGGGACACAGAGAGGACACGGAGGGGACAGTGGGAAGGACACGGAGGGAACACGGACGGGACACGGAGAGGACACGGAGGGGACACGGAGAGGACACAGAGGGGACACGGAGGGGACATGGAAGGGACAGTGGGAAGGACACGGAGGGGACATGGAGGGGACACGAAAGGGACACGGAAGGGACACGGAGAGGACACGGAGGGGACATGAAAGGGACACGGTAGGGACACGGAGGGGACATGGAGGGGACATGAAAGGGACACAGAGGGGACACGGAGAGGACACGGAAGGGACACGGCTGGCAGGTGCCACCCGGCCCAGCCCCGGCTGTCCCCGTGTCCGGCTCGGCAGGATCCGGGCCCGGCGGTGACGCGCGAGGTGGCCCCGGGACGTCACCGGCCCCGTCACCGGCCCCGTCACCGGCCCCGTCACCTGCCCGGATCCTGCCGCCTCCCACCTGGGCCAGGTGTGACCCGGGTCAGCGAAGGGACACGGGGACAAAACGGGACAAAGGGACAAAGGGACAAAACGGGACAAAGAGGGACAAAGGGACAAAAAGGGACACAGGGACAAAACGGGACAAAGGGACAAAGAGGGACAAAGGGACAAAGAGGGACAAAGAGGGACAAAGGGACAAAAAGG